CCGATTTCTGTTGTTCTATTTTGGCTTTATTTGAAGATATTTTTTCTCGGATTACATTCTAAAAACATTCATCAAAACGACATAATAATTAGAAAGTTTGAATTTGAATCTTCTATATTGAAACTTACAAAAATATTATACAACAAATTTGTTAACGCATTATTTTTTTTTATTTATAAAATATAAATATAATTAATACATAATTATCTTATATTAGTGAACTTATATGTGAAAAAATACATTTATTGTTTGACAAAATCAACAATAATGGCTTAAAATGCTATCATTATTGTTAAATTTAAAATATTACATTATATTGTACAATATAATAATAATATAATAATATATATATTATATATTATAGTGATGCGCTAATACTTATATTCCAATTAGCATACTATAATAATTTTTTTTATTACATAAAAATACTTAAATCTTTACAAACCTCAAAAACATTTTTCTTTTTCTTCTTATTTTTTTTAGATCTATAAAATAAAACCGTTATTCATTAATTATTTGTAAATTGTAGTTTTACCTGATATTAAATTAGATGCAGTAATATAATTGAGTGCCAAAAGGGGAAATTTTACTCTTGAAATTTATGCGGTGGAAGAGGGGACCAAGATATCTTTATACCTCCTCACTTCTATATCTCAACAGTAAAAATATTTTTTTTCTAGTATTACTACATAAATAAATTTATTTTACCTTTCTATAGTTGTACAATGTTGCCTATTGTCAAATTTGAGTATCAATACATTATCTGAATTACAAAAATCACCCAATAATATTATTGCATGAAATATGATTAAAGAATTACCATCATATAAATTTTTAAACTTATAGCAACTTTTTTTTTTTTTATAGACTCTTAACCTTAATATTATTTGCCAATGTGTATCCATATTATAATTTGTATATGACATAAATATCCATGTATTAAGAGAAAAACATGATTTTTTTTATCTTATACTCACAATAATGGATTCTTCTCATTATCACTTAAAATTCTTGAATTCTTATTTGGGGTTAGCATAGCAACATCTAATGAATTTAAATAAAGGTTAGATGTCAATAATAAACATTTAAGCATTTGCTTGGATATGAACTGACATACTTAAAAATTGTTTTTCCACAAAAAAAGCATATTAATTGATATCTTAATCAACTAATGAACATATATTAACTTTAATACTATGAAATTTATTTATAAATTATTATTTTATTTATTTTTAATTTAATACTATTTAATACTAACTTTAATACTTTAAACTATGTGTATACTAATGTATTTGAAATCAAAGTTGAACAAAGAGATACTGATATTAAAATCTTCAGTTATTTGTGACGTCCCAATATAAGACAAAAAATATAATTTATACAAATGGAGTACTTAGAAAAAGCAACAAATGAAATTTTTATTAACCAATTATACATAATTGTGTATGCACTTTTTAAATTTAAAAAGTTAAATCTAAATTTGAATAATCCAAATTTTTTATTGTTTGATGTTAAAATAATAGATCAAAAATGTATACAAAGAACAAGATATTCTTTAATGAAAAAAAAAGTATTTTTTTTTAGTTGTAAACAACATTAATCAATTTTTATTTTCTAATATGATAACTAGACAATACTTTATAAGATCTATGTTTTATATGAGCAGGGCTGTGAATTTATAGGAAAGTGCATTTTTTTTTGGTGATTGTAAAACATAGCTTTGTAAGTACATAATTTAAATTATGTAATTACAAATTCATCAATGAAACTTTTATTTTGCATAATTTTGCATTTTTTGACGTTTTTAATTTTTTAGGTCATTTTTTGCTTTTTTTAGTTCATTTTCTAGTATTTTTAACCAAATTCTGTCAATTAACTTGTTTGAAAACTTTTTTTTATTTTACACAGGCTATAATATATATATAATGTCAATTTTTTTTAACTTTTTTTATTAAATAAACATTTTTTAGTACTAATATTTAATATCCTGTACCTAATATTAATATAAATATAAACATAAAATTAAAAACCATTTTAAATGAATTTTATATTATAATTTTTGGTATTTTAAGTGCATATTTTGAATTTAAAGTGCATATTTCATTGCATTTTTTTGGTATTTTTTAAGGTTTTTTAGTGCATTAAAATCACAGTCCTATATATGAGTAATATTTCAAAATATGCATTCTATTCTTATAATGAATTGACAATTATTTTTACTTAGGTCTTACTAGCAAATATTGTATTTTGATAACAATTGATACAATTTTGTACATGGAATAACTTAAAGCATTTATAATATTTAATAATAAATTAATTGTTGAAAAACAGACCTTTATCATCAATTGAGTGAGCAGAGAGAAATTCAAAATACTTTTTGAAAATATCACAATCAGAGTCTTCACAGTCTTTAACAGTATCATTTTCCAGATACTTTTTACTGGTTGTAACCGATTTCTGTTGTTCTATTTTGGCTTTATTTGAAGATATTTTTTCTTGGATTACATTCTAAAAACATCACCAAGATGCGCGGTAAACGCCACCAAGACTCGCTTGAACTCATTTGCTGGAACATTTAAACCACCCATACCTCTGATCTAGCGTCAGATTTTCATCTTTACCTTCCTGCTGACTTACACATGAAGAAGGTACTCAAACCAAATGCATTTAGAGGAGGTGAAATAAGAATTTGCTAACGAAAGAGATATGCGAGAGTTCTATGAGAAGCATCAAAAGCTTGTGCCACGATTACTTAAATGCATTGAACGGAAGATGACTAGTGGAAAATAAATAATATGTATACCATAATGTCCTATAATTTTTAAATACAAAAACAGTACTTGTCTTTCGATGTATGCTCATATAATATGCAATGAATGCATATTCAGTTCCACCCACTACGGAGATGATTGACTTAATATTTTATAGAAGGACCTCACCAGCAAATGTGGCGTACTATATAATAATTTAGTTAATTATTTAATTATTTTTGGGTAAATAACTTTATTTTTAGTAAAAGTAAGAAAAATACAGGAAAAATTATATTCTAAGGTTTGTTCTTGATTGAATATTTTAATTTTATTTAAATTTTGCAACAATTTTTATTTGTTGACTAGAAAGACATAGCCAATTTTCTTACCTTGATATTGTGGAATTAGTTATATTTCTATTTTTATAACATATAATAACATTCATAATCAAGTTCGTTTTATGACTGTATTCAATGAAAATTATATAAATAAAATACCGCGTTAACAAATTGTTGTATAATATTTTGTAAGTTTCAATATAGAAGATTCAAATCAAACTTTCTAATGTTATGTCAAGCGATGAATGTTTTAGAATGTAATCCA